ACAAGTAATTGAACTTGATGGATTTTAATCAACCAAACATGAAAAATCCAAACTTTGTTCAACATGGAATTTAGGGTTAGGGTTCCAATCATTTAAACCTTTAAAGATTAGAACTTTAACATTATAGGAACTTAAAATTACAAGATCACAACAAGCTTTCACATTTTATTGCAATTTATTTGCAAAATTTGTGAAAAACAAGTTTATGTGAAAAATGGTATATCAACTTAAGCACTAATAAAAACTCCATTATTATGCTTAAGGATATTTTAAAACCAATAGATTAGTGATGCAAATGTGCATTTAATCTAACCTTGTAATGCTTGCATTAATCAAGGCTTAAAAAGAATTAAAATTTTCGTTGAAAAACGAAAAACCCCAGAAAAAATGGGTTTCTGGTTCGAATTTGGCTTCTGGACAGTTGTCGAAGAGGGTTGAATCTGTTCCAGAATGTCGATTCCACCCAAAAATCACTATTTTTGAGCCAAAATCTGGGTTCGACAGCCAAGTCGAGAATAAAATCGAGTTTTAAAATTAATTAAAACGAGCATTTAATCTAATTAGAAGAACATGAACCAAAAAAAAATAAATTCTTTAAAACACCTTAATTAAAAAAAAATTGCAAAAATTAAAAGGAGCGTGGCTCCGATACCGCTGTAGGGTTTCGTAGTGACCCGACACTACGGGGAAGGAAACCCCCCAAGACCCGCCCCTTAATTAAAGCAATTAACAAGCATAATAAACTTAATCAAACAAGACTAATTAAGAACAAGAATTATACCTTTGTTGCGTGCTTCGCTCCCGAAGAGCTCTTACTTCAAAATCCCGAAAGCACGAGATCTCCGACGGATCGTACCCTCGACCCGACCCGAGCGTCCTAAGTCTTGAAGGTTAGTCAAGACCCGGACAAAACAAAACTATGAGTTTTACGAATCAAAGGTTTACTCTAATTATAAGAGTTGCCTTTTTAATTCCACTCAAGGTTATCCATTTCCCAACACCCTTGAAGGGTATTTATAGGGAAATGGGTCCTTGGTTTTCAATCTCCCATCAATGTGGGAGAGTTGAAAAATCAATGATTTATTTAATTCCAAATTAAATAAATAATCAAGTAAATCACATTGCGACAAGCGGCATGATCATGTGCAAAGAAGTAGTGCCTAAGGCTAGGTGGGGGGGGACCATGTGCCTTGCTCCCCAAGGGGTTGGATTTTGGTCCCCACACCCTTCCTCAATGCCGCCACACAGCTAGCAAGCTAATGCGTGCTAGCGCTGGGCGATGCTGGTGCTGGTGTTGTGTGCTAGCGCCTAACGCTGCTAGCACATAGTGTTGGCACTGGCCCCCAGCAGCCCACGCACAGGCTAGCACGCACACACCTTGCACACCACGCACCAGGCATCATGCTACGCACCACGCACCACGCATCACGCTACGCACCACGCACCACGCATCATGCTACGCACCACGCACCACGCACTAGCGCTATGGCCACGCACCACGCATGCACTAGGCAGTATGCAGCATGCACCAGTGCCATGGCCACGCATTGGCTAGGCAGCGCACATGACTAGCATGCATGCACCAGCCTCGCGCCATTTCATTGCTAGCCTAGTGCGCCCACACACTAGGCCATACGCTAGTGCCTAGCACTGGCTGTGCTTGGTGTGTGTGGCCCTGCTATGCACGCCTAGCATTGTCCTAGGGTTGCGATGGTGCCCAACCATCCTAGGGCACGCATGGTGCGCCTAGAGATGTTGTATGGGCTGCGATAGTGCCCAGCCATCCTAGGGCACGCATGGTGCGCCTAGAGGTGTTGTATAGGCTGCGATGGTGCGCCTAGCACACCTAGTGTGCTTAGGCTTACGCCTAGCCATGATGGGTGCATTTTGGCTCGAACTAGCCTAGCATCCACATGGCTAGGCCAGTGTGGTGCTAGGGCTATGTTCATATTTGTCGCTTTGTGATTTTGCGACGTTCGGTCTCGACGCCCTAGGCTCGATATCCGACATCTGTATTCGTAAAACTCTGTCGACTCATTAAATCCTTTCGGATTAATTCATCGTCTCGGATCGGTGATTCGATTGGGTTCGACCCGAAGGGTTCAGTTAAGATTAAGCTGTAATATCAATTGTACCTCGATATTACTGATCGAAAGCGGCCTCCACCTAGGTATTCCGATCACTTGACCTTACTGAAGAATTAGCTCTGTAAGAATTCTGAACCCTCTATCGGAAGAATACACTTGTTGGAAGGACACCATTCCTTTCAAGATAAAGACAAGGCCAAACAAACATACAAACACACAATCAATAATGCTGAGTACATAAGCGTAAATAGTACACACTAACATGCTTTCATCCTATCAATACACAACTTACCTTGTTGCACCTATTTACAAGCATACAACACAACCAACCAATACATAGCTAAATAAATTGCTTATTTAATTTGATTACACATCGAACGGGTTTCAACCAAATTCATGCCCAAAATAAATTGAGGTAAACTACACCGGGAGCTAACCGGGTAGGCAAATGCCACATGAAAGTGATTGGACGTTTTGCGCATAAAATAAATAAAGGAAAATACAGCATCTTGTACTTCCAGTACAAGTTATGGTGAAATATAAAGTCGCATAACTCCTCCCATATGTTCATACTCGAGGTATATACATTCCAAGAGTTTTGGTGCGTAATCTCTTTCACTTTACGTGATTTACACATTTTTAGACTTGGTGATGACTCTCAAACCATAAGACAATTAATCATAATAAATTATTCAAGCAATCAAACACACCAATTTAATTCTTGAATAATTAGCGACCACATAAATTTAATGTTGAACCCTTTTTAAACTACCTCGACGTTAAATAGCACCTTAAGCGCATAAAGCACCGCAAATCCTATCCCTCAGTGTTTAGAACACCTTAAGTGCACTTAGGCACCGCAATACATTTTATTCATGTGTACTAAGACACTTAATAGCTCATTCCCCATGCTTAAAACATCAATAAACATTATATGAACCATAACAAATTCCCTTTTTAAATTCCAAACCAAATTAAACAGTTAGTTTAATTAAACATGCTTTCAATCATGCCAATAATAAAAGTGTGTCTCATATTCAACTTGCCAACATAATTAATTTCAATCATCAATTCACCACAAATAATTCATACTTCACAAATCAATCACCAACATCAATCCAATCAACAAATCCAACCAATACCTATCATGATACTACCTTGGAATTAATTAACAAAGTCTAGCATGCTTCTATACACTTAAATATTTACCGAGTACGCGAACGTACCTCGAATATGATCTCAAAATCGCCAGGATTACACGAAATCACTCACTTGGAAATCTCCTCCAACCCAAAATTACAAAGAGACATTAATACCTATTCAATATAAATTTCCAGCAATATATACACTCTTTAAATCACTTATAAACCCTCTAAAACAAGCTGAAAATTAATTTAAAACTCCTACTTTTTTTCCAATTAATGGGTAATTAAAAATCCTTTCAAGAAACATAATTCTAACCTTTATATAAAAATTTCAGCTTAATAAAAACATGTAAAATTGCGTAATTATGTTAAAAAAAACACCTATTTCAATAATTCCAACCAACTACAATCAATTTCCATCAATATACATCAATTTAGAAACCTAGGGTTTTCAATTTGGGGCTTTTAAATTCAAAAACCAAATCTGAAATTTATATACATAATAATCATAATCAAACATCATAAAAATCATCACAACACCCAAAAATAATAATTAAATCAAGGCTAGGTTAGGATTAAAACAAAAAGATTTTTTTTTTAAAAAAAATCGCACAACCACACGACGGGGAGGGGGCTGCTGCCGCCCTCCACGTCGGCGGCTGCTGCTGGTGGCTGCTTGCGGTGGTGGCCAGCCGGTGGGAGGTGGTGGTGGCGGCCGACCACCTTGTGTGTGCATGTGGGTGTGTAAAAAAAATAAAGGGGGGGGGGGGAAAAATTAAGGGAGAGAGAGAAAGAGTTTACCTTTGGGTATTCTACACCTTGGGCAAGATCTAACTTGCTCATAAGATGGGTATTTATACCCCCTCTCAAAACCCTTGTATCCTTAAATTCCCTTTCTACCCTTAATGATCCCTTCTCCTATTCAAATTAGTCATTTGACTTTCTTTTAAATACCATTGACTTTAAATTTCCTTTTATAAAATAATATGCCCCATAGTTTCTAAATAATAAAATAAAAATATTTTCAAAGCAATTAAATAAATAAAATGGACCTTAAATTAAAATAAATCTTTTTAAGTTAATAAAATACCATAAATAATTCATTTCAAATTATTTAAATGCTTTATAAAATAATGATTTAAATTATAATACGTATAAAAATACGGGGTATTACAAATTTACTCCAATTGGGTCAGTCCACAAATGATCTAATTACAAGCCCAAAGAAGGTTCAACCCAAAAGCATGTCAAGTCAGTCAAAGGCCCAGTCAACATGGTAAGACCACTTGGCTTCAAGGCCCACTCAATCTATTTGGGTAAGGTATAAAAGCCTTCACTTCTTCCTCTTAATTTATTCACATTAAGCCTCAAGCAATTAATTCTCCTGCATAATTTTCTCTCTCTAGAAAACACTGTACTAACTTCGGCATCGGAGCGACCTTCCTCGGCACAACCCCCGATGTCAGTTTACGTGTGTTTACTGTGGAGGAAACGCTCGTCTCAGTCATCATTTGGGCCGAGTCCAGTTTTCAGCCCACAGAAAAGGTCCAGACGAAGGACCCATTGTTTTCACCCGAAACAATTACGATTCCATTATTTGATTGACATGCTCCGTTGATCTAATAGATCAACTAGGGTAGCCTCGATGATTTGGGTTCCTAACTCGTACTCGCCCTAGTTTTTAGTCTAGGCTAAAATTCACTCAAGAGTCAAGACTAGAGTCAAGAATATGGCTCAATTTCTAATCAAGAAGTTAGGGGGGGCAAATGGGCAATGTTGAAAAAATTAGCGCGACACCTTGACCTTACAATCTCATTCTCAAGGCCACATTTAAACACTTTCTCTAGGTATCTCTCACACTCCCACACAAAAATGGCCGACGACCCCACCACAACGCCCTCTGCCGCCGCCGCCGCCGCCGCAACCGCCGAACCCGCAGACTTAGCTCCACCCCAACCACTCTCGAAGAGCGCCCAAAAGAAGTTAATAAAGCAACAAAGGTACGAGGCCAAGAAGGCGGAGAAGAAAGCTGAAGTGAAGGAGCACAAGATGAGAGAGAAAGAGAGGAAACGGAAAGAATGGGATGAGAAGCTCGCAAACATGTCTTCTGAAGAAGAAAAGTTGAAATTGATTGAGTCAAGAAAAGGGGTTCGAAAGGAGAGAATGGAGCAGCGGTCAGAGGAGAGAGAAAAGAAGTTGGAGCGTCTTTCTTGGGCTAAACTTCATGGTCAGAATATTGTTATTGATCTTGAGTTTTCTCATCTTATGACGCCTAATGAACTCAATAGCCTTATTCAACAGGTCTCATTTTTCTTTCTTTTTGTTCTTTTTCTTGTAATTTTATCTGGGTATCTTTTGAATTTGTATGTTATTATGTAGAATTTATGAATTTATTGGGTTTCATCTGAATTTCATTTCTGGGTTGAAATGAATTGTAGTGGTGAATAAGGTTTGTTCGTTTTTTAGGGCGATTTTTTTTATTTATTTTATTTTTTATTTTATTTTATAAAATCAGGTGTATCATACAGGCTAGAGCTTCATTTTTTGCTCATTTGCTTAGATGAGTGAGGTTTTACCGTGTATGGTACACTCGATGTATAAAGGACATTCTAGACTTTTATGCTGTGCCTATAAGATGGATGTGTGCTTTAGATTTCTAAATTTATATATCAGCAACCATTTTAAAAGAGTAAGTATAAACTAAGGAAATTTTAGGTTTCTTTAGGCTGAGAACACTACCTCATCCCCTGTCTTATGTAATGAATTGATTTTTTTTTTCCTTGGAAGATTGATGTGTTGATGATGAAGTTTAATAAATTTTTAAAAATGGAAATGATGGTAGAAAAATGCTTACTGTTGCTGCCAATATCTGTATGTCGCACATGTCTCTCCTTTTAAAGTTTTTCCCTCTTGTACGAACGCTGAAACAAATGCGTCTGCGTTTGTAGACAGTCATGTGAAGCTGTCGCCCAGCTTTCATATGGTCAAAAAGTAGTGCAGGATTCACATTTTGTTCAATGTTGTGCACTTGATCTTGTGAGCTACTGTGTTGTTCTATCTTCACTTTCATCAGTATTGAGTGTATAATGAAAAATGAAGTTATGTTTCATAGGAACCCTGAAACTAAGTGACATTGAAAACTTTTCTGTATGCTAAATGACATTGAAAACTTTGAGAGTTTGCTTGGATTTTCACATTTGTGATTTTGTTGAATTAAGCTTCCTTTTTTTTGAACTCTATCAATTAATTAATGCCAACTACAGATAATGTATTGCTATGCAGTTAACAATAGGTGCACTTCCCCTGGTCATCTGTGGCTGACTGGATGCGAGGGTAATATGGGAAGCCATTTGAATAGAATTCCAGGATTCGATAAGTGGCTCATTGAGAAAGAGAAACAGTCTTATATTGAAGCTTTGCAAGATCAGAAAGAGAATCTGGTTTATTTAACTGCTGATGCAGAAACCATCTTGGATGATCTAGACCCCAAGAAAATTTATATCATTGGTGGGTTGGTAGATCGTAACCGATGGAAAGGGCTAACTATGAAGAAAGCTGAAGAGCAAGGTGTTCAAGCAGCAAAGCTTCCTATTGGGAATTACTTGAAAATGTCCAGTTCACAGGTCAGTATCATAGTAGTTTGACCCCTCTCGTTGCACTAGCTTGTTTCTTTTGTTGGCTGTAACTAGCTGACCAGTTGTTTTTCTGTCAAATATCTTATTCCTTTTGGTCTACTTTATTTGTTGGTGAATTGAAGTATAAATCTACATTTGGATAGTCTGATGTGAACACATGTTTAATAGGCTTTAAGCTTTTCATTCATAGTTCACTTCACATATTAGTAGTCTCTCATTATTAAATCATATGATATTCTAATTGATGCTATCTTTCAAGTTTAATTTGGGCTGAAAGTTCCTTTAAAAAGCAGAAACATGCATAGTATAGTATTCTATTCCAGTTTGATGTTGACTTCCTCAAAGAAATACTAGTATCATATAACAATGGTTCTAGATTTGGGCAAACTGTCGTGATTCCTATGGAAACTGTAGATCAATAATTTCCTGAAAACCTGGTATATGTTTCATCTTAATGAATTTTGAAAGGTTGAGTTGTGTGCGGATTTGACCCAAACATTTGAACATGTCATAGACGGTTTTCCTTTTCAGACTCAAGAGAGAGAGAAAAAAAAAAAAAAGGTAATGAGGGGTTTTATTTTCCCTTTAAATATTCTGTTGCTAAAAGAGAAAGCATTGAAACTTCTGTTATGTCAATTTTAAGTAATAGTAAAAGTAGCTGAGTTTAGCACCATCCTTTACCTCGAAACTTTTGTTAAAGACATTTGGATGAGCATAGGAAATTCTCTTGCTTGGGGTCAGCTAGATGAATTTTTGCTCACTACTGAATCCTTCTAAGTATCATATACTTCTTGAGCTGTGAAACAGTGACATCCTACCTTAAGACCTTGTCCCTGCTCTTCTTTGGTCTACTTCTCCTTTTGCTATCCTTTGAAAAAAATGTTTTTTTTTTTCTTCTTTTGCTGAAGTCATCTAAGATCATTAATTATGAACAATATACCAAGCCTTGCTGCTAGTAAATACATATTCCAGCTGATCAATATTCTTCACTGTCGTACATGTTGAATAACAGAGTATTAGTGATTATATTATATATCATTGCCAGCATGATGAACGGTGGGAAAATGGTGGCTATAGTGCACCCATTTGAATCTAGAGAATTATGTGGTGACAAAATGGTGAAAAAATATGTAGGCTTACAAAAGTACTGGCACATCTTAATAAGCATGATTATGCCATAATGAAGAAGCAAGGAAACCAAAAGACACATGTTAAGACCATGTGCTGGTGCAGTAGCAAGATGGAGAAGTATCTTAACTTAGCAGTAGTCATGTAGTAAACTAGCCAAGCTTCCTATTATTAGGAATCTTAAAGATATTGTAAGCCTAAAAACAAATGCCACATAGATTAAAATACTTGTGTGGGAGAAGATTCTTGCTACGTTCATTAGTCTAAAAGGTCCTTAAGATGGATTTGTTTGGTAGGTAGTAATGAATGGTGGTAATGGGAATGAGTTTGTACATGAAGTTGTAAGAGAAATAATTTTTCATTCCCATGGTAATGATAGTTCAACCTCAATTATCTATTTTTCTTCACAAATTTTCATTACCATCCATTACCACTGGGGGAGTATTGGATGGTAATGGACAATAATGAAGAAAAACAGAAGTTTAAGAATGAGATTGCAAAACTATGGACACTTTGCTGTTAATTTACTTGCCAAATTAAACTTAAATTCATCCCATTATCGCCATTTTGTAATTGGCTACCAAAGGTCACCAAATTGTAATATCTTGGTTGATAGTTGTGGTGATAAAAATCATTATTAAGAACCTATCATGCAGTTATACAGGACTCCATGTCGGTTTTAAATTGGTGAATGGCATCAGTATCAATTGTGGTGATTGCATCTCCTAGTTGTAGGGATCAGAAAGGGGTCACTACGACACCCACAATGTCACACACAAGACAATAAACCAACAATTCAATCTAATCAACCCAAATTGTCACAACCAAATCACCACATAAAAAACATTAATAATGCAGTTTCAAACCAGCAATAACAGGAAGAACAAAATAGCAAAACACACACGAATTATACATGGAAAACCCCTTCAAAGGATAGAAACTATGAGACCGTTTGAGAAGTCCACCCGAAACTTCTCTTATTAATTATTAAGGGTAATATAAACCCAAATCAGCCATCAATAGATGGATGCTTTTGTGTATGCTTTCTTTAGCTTAGTTCTTTTCTAAACGCTATTGTTCCTTATTTTTGAACACTTTCTGGCTTTCTGCCAAGAAAAAGTGTTTGAAGTCTTTGAATTATTTAAGACCTATTAATTATTGCACTAGTGTGGGGAAACTGTTTGCTTTATTCACAGTGGCCTTTGCTTACAAATTATAAGTGCAAATATAAATTTGGGACCCACTTTGCAGTATATCACTCTCACATTCTATACTGCCATTACTACCCATACAACTCACCCATGATGAAATGGTTTATATGTAGAATTTTCTCCTTTTTTTATTTATTTTTTTTATTTTATAATTTTTTTTACCTATTATTATTATTATTATTATTATATTTTTTATTTTATTATTATTATTATTATTATTATATACTCGTGATCAGGTTGCCCTATTAATTTTACTCACTTCCAACAAATATAAGTACTACCTCTGTTTCATATTATGTGCAACAAAAGCCTTGTCACGGACTCCTAGACAAAATTTATTTGTGAGTGTTAAATAGAGAGAGAAAGTTAGAATTGCATGTGATGAGGAGAGCGATAGAGAGAAATGACAACTTAAAAGGAAGGGAAAAATTTGTTGCACATAATGTACATTATCCAATTTTGGTAAATGTTGCACATAGTATGAAACGGAGGTAGTATGTCAAATTGTCAACTATGCATGAGTCCCTTTGTTCCTTTTTATTTGTCTCATTTGAATTTTTGCACAATTGTTTTCAATACACACAGTATAGTACTAATATCTTCTAATAAGTATTACAAGCAATCATTAAAAATAGTTAATATTTTGATATTAATGTCGAAATGGATCTAACAATATTTCACATGTGCAATTTTTTCTCTTATATAAATTCATAGGTATTCATGGTCACTTTACGAAAGAAAGATTCTTAATGGGACAAGTAAAAATGAACATGATGAAATTATTTTTTTCTTTCTAATTGTCCCTTTTGCCTTTTTACACAACTTCCAATGCAAATTTTCAAGCATCAACATCCTCCTTCCAAAACTCCACTTTAGTATGTAGTAAGTACTCCTGTTTTTTAAAGTGCCCTACTTTCCAAATATGGTCATTTTTTTAACCGCTCCATTTCCAATTAAAAACCCCACTCACATTATATATTATTTTTTCTCTTTCTTTTTACCCCACTATCATTTTATAATATTTCTCTCTCTCACATTATACCTAGAGGTTCCCCATTCACAATCTCTCTCTTTTTCAAATTTTTTATTCTTAACCATACCCTACTTTCATATGACTTTATTCGTTTGCCTAAAACTCCGCATACAGCACAATGGGGCACTTAAAAAAGACAACGGAGGGAGTATAGAATTAGAATAGAGCCTTATCTGTTGGACTGGTTTTTATAATCAGATCTTGTAAGCTTTCTTTGTGAAACAATAGTTGAAATTGGACTTTCAAATTGGAGAAATTATTTATCATCTACCAAAACTAAACAAAATCTATCCTGTGTCCTAAACCCTTTTTTTCAAATTAATTTTAGATTATTTTGAAAATAATAATTGTCTTTTATATTTCCTACAAAACATTTATGACTACACTTAGGGGCTGTTTGGTTCATATAAGGGAAAGGAGAAGAATAGAATGTAACTCCCTTTGATTTACTATATTGTTTGTTTTATATAACAAAGGGAATGAGTGCCACCATACAACCACCATGCAACCACCTTTTCACTTCTCTTTTCCTCTTTTTCCGGACACTATGAAGACCCCACCACTCACCTTGGCCAGCTGCCCTTCCTCTTCCCCCCAAACCACCAGAAAACCCTTCCCCTTGGGAATTACTGGAGCTTGGTGAAAGTAAACCTTGTGGTGACAGTGACGAGGTTAGGGTGATGTTAAAAGGTGGTGAAATTGATTTCAATGGTGTAAGTTGTGGTGGTGGTGAAGGTGAGGAGGAGGAGAGAGAAAATGAGGGGGAATAGGAGGGGCGCTAGGGGTAGGGGAAAGGGTGATGCAGGAAGGCGGTGGGGTAGGTGGGTTTTTTTTGTGGTGGGGGTAGGGTAGGAGGGTAGTGGACTAGTGGGGATATGGTGGTGGCTAAGTAAAGGGAATGGAAATACTTAGGGTGGGTGGGGAATGAACTTGGAAGACTTTAGGGGAATGAAGAGGGTAAAGGGAATGCGAAACAAGGCCTAACAAACACCATCAAAGAGAATGAGAGCAGTTGATTCCCTTACCGTTTGATGAATACTCCTAACCAAACGGCCCCTTAATTAAAAAGTACCATTAATTTTATATCTCTCCATCCACTAATCTAAATAGAAATCTTTTGTGTGGTCAGCACATCATTAGTTAATGTTATGACCACTTTACATATAAGCAGTCTACGACAATGATAAAATTAAAAAAAAAAAAAAAAAAAAAGGGTTACCTTGACGGATGAGGGATTATACCCAAGGAAAAATGGGGTTACTTATATAAATAAGTGAGATTATTCTTTGAATAGTCAGAAACAAAAGAAGAGGGTTACTCAAATGAACAAATGGGTTTTTTTTTTTAATTAATTGATGTTACTCGTATAATAAAATGGTGAAACTCTTGTTGATAAAATATATGGTTACCCTTATAAACAAACGTGGCCACATCATGTGGCTATCTACATATAAGACTTGCTGATTATTGAATACACTAAAATTGTATATACAAGACTCTTAAAAACAAACTGCTCCTTTTTGTATATATATATATATATTTTTTGTTTGAGAAATATGTTGTATAGTACGAAGATGTTTAGGCTTTGTTACATGGACCTAGTAGATTTCAGGGCA